GATTTATATGACTGCATGCATTTAAGTGCCTATAACATGGTTGCGGTATTTAAATACAGCAAAAGTTTAAGGTATTTTAAAAAACTTTGCAATCAGAGTTTGTTATTCACATTATAATTCTTGGATTTATTAGCCTTTATATTAACCGGACGTGCATGATGTCAAATTGGAAATGGCAAATCAGTTTTCTTTTGTTTAATTGAGTTGCAAGTTGACAAGCAAAACATAAAAAAGCGAGAACGTTACGAGAGTTGAGATAACCGCGCGAAACCGTGGCCGAAGGCGAGCAATTTTGCGAGCTTTTCTTAGCTCAAACAACATTCCCAATCGATCAGGCCATCCAAACACAGGAAGCTATCAAGTAATTGTTTAATAACAAAAACAAGGTAGTGTTATATATCTATAAAAAAAAGTTATATAGCTATAAATCTTTTAATAAAATATTTACCTTTCGATCCATATCTGTCATCAATACCAAGCTGAATGGAGCCTTGAGAGACAGTTAGTTCTCTCTCGTCCCTTTCCACTGCAGTGATCTGAAATGATTTATTTTCACCAAGGGATTTTTCAGGTAGAAGACGTGTTCTTATCTTGTGCGAATCATTCTCGGATATAGACAGTAGACTATCGAAAGTGATGTTACGAACATCTGGTGCTGCCCGTGGAGACAAGTGCAAAGACATGGCAAACACCATCTCTATATAAACAGCGGCAGGTATCAAGGGGTTTGAAGATTGAGAAAATTTGTGATCCTGGAGATATGAAACATCGTGCAAATTGATTTCAGATTCCCAAGCCTGCAAACCACTGAACGTTTCCGTCGGCACTGCTTTACCAAGAAGAGGATGGAATGTGTTGATTTCCTTATTTTCTTCATTAGTGTTGTGCTCATCGTAAAATGTAACACATTCTGGTGGACGCGCTTCGCGGTACCAATACTTTGTCTCTTGCCAAGGATATGTTGGACGGGGGAAAAATGTTTTCGATCCAGAGCCTTGCACTTTGTTCCATGATAAGGGCACACCATTTACGAAGAGACTAGCCACGCAATTTTGAAGAAATGATAAGTGCTGGCTTTTAACTGATTGTTTTGGGAGAGTTTGAACTACAACGACGTCGTTTGAACGTAGAGAATCTGATGGATGATTGTGAGACCAAGTCTGACGAACATGGTATGAAAGCTGAGGTACTGCGTTTATTTCAATGAAGAACCGGTGACCATCCGAAAACATCTTTTTTAATACGGGCTCCAGTAAAACCGCTTGTCGGATGTTACGCCACCAATGGTCAAGTGATAAGAGACTACCAGGCAACTTGGTGCCGGTAACAGTTGAATAAAATGGCAAATGGCTTGAAGTTTCACAAACTTTGAATTCCTTTGTGAGATTAAGGAATGCTTGCTTTATTTCATCCATTTCTCTACTATGGTATGCTCGGGTCGTAGTGAGTTTCTTCCACAAAAGATTTCTTCTTTCCCTGGACACATGGTTTTCCACCAGCTGCATTGACCTTTGGCTACCAGATAACACAACATTACCTGGGCTATTCACGGCGGCAACGTCGATCTCATTTGTCAGTTGAAGATCTTGCAGCATATGTCGAGCTTCCTCTTCTGTCATCCCAATGGCAGCCATACAACCTGTTGGTGAACATTTCTCGTGAAGTTGAGAGCGAAACAAAACCAACTGCAAAGCTTTATTCAAATTTAATGCTCCAGATGCCCAGGCTGCAGATATTTCTCCAAGACTATGACCAATAACTGCGGACGGTGAAACACCCCATGATTTTAGCAGCTTGGTTAAAGCAAAATGTATGGCGAACAGAGCAGTCTGTCCAATTGGGTTTTCATGAATTCGCGACGTTTCTTCAGGTTTCTTGAGCTCAGAAATCAAGGACCAGGGGGCATGGTATTGTTTAAGGAGTGCGTCAATTTTTTCAATGCTTTGCTTGAATTTTGGCTCGTGAACTAGCATTTCTCTCGCCATACCATACCACTGTGCACCTTGACCACCATAGAGGAATACGGCTTCACGACGCGGCTTAGCGACGACCCCTGTAGCCACCAATTCTTCCCATCCATTCTCCTGATCAGAGAACATATCCAATGCCTTTGCTGCATCTTGAAATGAATAGAAGCTAATCGCCAAGCGATGGAGTTGAATTGTGTACCTTTCGTTGAAGGAATAACAAATATTATCTTTAAGAAGTTCGTCGTCATCAGGCTTTATCTTTAGCGATAAAGACACTTTTCTAGCCATTGCTCTCAATGATTCTTTCGACGCTGCCGACAATGTTAGGACTCTGTTGGATGAATTTCTGCTTGGGATTATAGTTGTTGGCCTCGCTGTTACTTCCCTAATGATTGCATGAGCATTTGCACCACCGAATCCATACGAAGATACCGCGGCGGTTCTCGGCTTATCATCCTCGGTTTTCCAAGGCTCATTGGAAACTTGAACAACCATTTTTCTCTGAGACATCATGAGCTGTGGTTTAACTTGTTGAATATTAATAGTAGGAACAAATTGAGCATGTTTTATCATCAGACATGTCTTGATTAGTCCAGCTAAACCTGCTGTTGACTCCGTATGGTTTACGTTTGATTTCACTGATCCTACACGAAGTAATCGTTTACCACTATTGCCATAGACTGTTGACAGCGATCCCATTTCGACGACATCTCCAACGGCTGTACCGGTGCCATGTGCTTCCACGTACGTTATATCGTCCTTGGTCAGACCTGATTCTTGAAGAACTCTCCTAAAAAGAGCGGTTTGTGTTACCTCACTAGGGGCTGTCATTGGAATGGCGGTTTGGCCATCATTATTTGTTCCGCAAGCCACGACCTCTGCATAAATATTATCTCTATCCTCTAAGGCTGTTTCGGTTGGTTTTATCACGATCGCAGCTACACCTTCACCTCTCCCATAGCCGTCACCTTTGATATCAAAACATTTGCAACGACCATCTTGGGCCAGCAGCCCAGTTCTGCAGCATGCCGTGTGAAATTGGTTTCCAATAAGAATTATATTAGGGGCGCAAATTATAGCCGCGTCACACTCGCCAGTTTGTAAGTGTTGAAATGCAATGTCCAAAGCAACCAAAGATGAGGAACAAGCTGTATCCAACGCGATGCTAGGGCCAGTTAGGTTCAGCGAAAAAGAGATCCGGTTGGCTATAACTGACATAGAGCAGCCAGTTGACGAGAACTGATCAATCTTTCTAATATTCGAAGGATCAAAAACAAGTGCACTATATTCCGTGCACATAGATCCGACATAAACGCCAGTTCGACATTGTTGTAAGTCCTCAAGCGGTATACCGGCGTCTTCAATCGCTTCAAAGACAACTTGAAGAAGTATTCGCTGTTGGGGATCCATTGAACGGCTTTCGATTGGAGATATTCCAAAAAACTGAGCATCAAATCCTGTAATATTTTCAAGAAATGCGCCAGTAAGGATGTAATGCTTCCCTGGCGTGTGCTTCCCTGGGTTAAACGAATCTGTGAACTCCCTTGCGTCTGGCCTGTTCATTGGATACGAGCCAATACTAGATCGACCTTCCACCAACATATCCCAAAATGCATCTTTCGAGTTTGCCCCACCTGGAAAACGACAACTCATTCCCACAATGGCAATCGGATTGGATTGCTTGGTTTTTGCGTGTAATCCAGATAAACCTCGGCTTGTATTTCTACTAGATTTGTATCTTTTTGTAATGTTGAACCACTTTATGATTGACAAGTCAAGGTTACTTCCACGAAGATTAAAGAGCTTTCCGAGTAGAGACAGGTACACAGGTAGTATAACCAAACCATGAAGTAAACCAAGAAAAACGATACCAACAAACATTTTGAAAAATGTCTGAAATACCATGGAGGAGGTAAATCCCGTTGGCATCATTCCAAGGAATGTGCTAAGCCCACCTAAAAAAACACTTCCGCCTACTTTGCTTAGAGCATCGATGACACGGAGTTCGGGAGTTGTTGCCCGGGAGGAAACAAAGTGGAAAGCGACATGTGCGTTGTAATCTACAGAAAATCCCAAAGCCATAACAAGATTAATCATAGAGATTGAGTTCAAAGAGACATTCCAGATGTACATTAGACCAAATAGTTCAAATATAAGAGCACCGAATCCCCATATAAGACAAAATATTACTACAAAGTGATTAATAAACAGCCAGGATATCAAAATAATTGAAATTCCAGCAACAACCAAGTTCCTGATGGTTTCATTAAGTACATGAGCATACTGTTCAAAGTATATAAAAGGCAAGGCAATAGCAAATGCACGAGCATCCGCTGAGTGGAGATCCTTTCGAATGCTCGCCATCATATTTCTTTGAAAGTTTGAGTCAGGATCACTCTTACAATATACTAGCATCCTTGAAGCCGTCAAATGAGTTTTATCTTTCGAAAATTTTACATCCTGGGCAAACCTTTGATACTCCGGGAGTGAAATAAACTCCTTCAAGTAGTGATGGAACATTCTGGTATTATCGATTTTGATCTTTCTATTCTGTGCCCACCATATAATTGGGATAACCACGATATCCTTCTTGGAGAAAAATATTGGTTACTTTCAACAAGAGTTTCGACTTGGGAGTATATTTTCTGAATTTCAATGCTCGAGTGATCAGTTTTTTCCGGGAAAATTATGCTAACTTCGATATTAAGGTGAAAGTTTTCTTCATAAACATTTAGGAATTTTCGGAAATGTGAATCTTTCGTTGTTAACCACTTTCTGTTAAAACTTTCATCGAGGCCAAGAACGCCATAAATTCCAAAAGCTAGGAGAAGTAGTGAACCTAAGAACACAAAGACTTTTCCAACAGGTGAAGTAATTAGTTTTCCCCATGCTTTCATAACGTTGTCAAAGCCACTTCTCCGAATTCCAAAGCAACAATCAGTTGGAGGACGACTCATTAGGCAAGGCAAGAAATCTCTGCGTTGAGCGTTTATCCTTTTGATATCAACCACATGCAACCAACAAAAAATGTCAGCAACAGAATGAAAACAGATGAGATTGCAACAGCTGTGTAAGTGCAGAAAAGACGAATCGAAGGGAAATGGAACTACTGCTAACGGCAAATGCTACAAGATCAGTAAGGGTTGTCATGGTAATAGTTGGACCACTTCTAGCCATTGTCCCGCTTAGCATATGCGTCGAGGGCAAATCTTGACGGATCATTTCATTAAGTTCGTGTAGGATAATGAAAACATCGTCTATGCCGATACTTACAACCAAGAACGGTAGAACACCAACCATGCTGATAAAGGGAACACCAACAATCATTAAAAGGCCAAGTGCACTCGTGACACCCAAGTAAATGGACAACAATGCACCATATCCTAACAATTGATGACCAAAACGAGCATCACCACATCTTCCATTCACAATGCCACTAAGAATGCCCATGATTGTAAATGTTACTGCGAAAAACGAAATATCAGAACCAGTACTTTCTGATACAGAGTCGTCCAAGCTTCTTTCTGCAGCATAAAAAACATTCGCACAGGTAGTGTTTTTTGAAAATGATGATATTTTTTTGAGGTAAATACTCTCCCAATCCAAAATGTTCTCCTTCTCCTGTCCATCTCTATCATATTCTTTCATATAGTAAGCCATTCTCAGCGCATTTGTGGAATCAAGTGAATCGCCGGAAGCATTATTTCCAAAAATTCTATTAAAATTATCGACGAGTCTTCTGCCATTGGCCATAAGAAAAGCATCATTTTGTAGAACGGTCTGGATACGTTGTGTAATATTGGCAACTAAGTTTTCCTTTTGATAACTGAAAATTTCTAACAGGTTTGTTGAAGCACAACTTCTATTTGAGTTTTTCCTATAGCAGTATTCGTCGTAGTGATCTATATCTGTAATAATGTTGTGTAAATCAATCATTTCTGCCAAACATTCTTGCGACAGAACGGATTTGCCATGTTTAGGCAAAATAACAACCTCTTCTTGTCGTACTTCGAGTTCAAACCCTAGACTTCTCGCCTTTCTTATATCCTGTGATGCTTCACTGTTTTCAGGTAGGTACAAATATTTCACATTTTTGTCAACTTTTAACATTGCAAAGCCACACGTTAGGCCAATAGTGACAAGCAGACAACAAAATATTACTCGAAAAGGTCGACGTGAAATGAAGATAGCAGACATTTCAAACAGTTTTTCAAGAAATATGATCAAAATCATCTGAACCCAAGCCCATTTCTCTCTGTAGCAATAACGTGACTTCGAAACATGGCATCCCTCATGCATGATGTCAATATTATCAGCATTGCTCTTTGTCTCCGAATTGAAGCTGTCAAGAAGGTATAAACAATTAGCTACACTCAACTTATTAACACGGAACGCCTAGAATGGGTACCCAAACCCAATTTTATCCGTGCTCGTACTACCATGCAGTACAAAGGTCGAGCGCAGTCAAATGGGCAGGGGTACCTATTTAACAGTGCCGTGCAAGTAAATCGAGAGGCAGTGTAAACCATTCTTTATTTACGGGTTGCAACGCCGAGATGAATAATAATCGCACCGAGGTCATGAAATTAGTCAATTATTTCGTTAATGCGTCCAAATGCCTAACTGAGTATTTGATTATGAATTGAGTATTATACATTTTAGCAACAGCTGACATTGCGGTAGGAAGTTTTAAAAAAATCCGGTTTCTTCTAGTGAATTTTGGTTATCACTGGTTGGAATTTGGATTGGTTGGAATTTTGGTCGATTATCCATGTTTCGTGCCACGCGTTTTTATCTATAACTATATCCACTTGTTAGCAAATTCACTATTACATTCATGCACCTTTCGAACAACTGGCCTCTTTATTAGTGCGTCGCCTGAAATTTTGGCTCTATCTGAAAACACACTCGCCTAGAGTGGTTACATGCACCTAGCTTTGTTTGTAGGAGAAATGCAATTGATTTGAAAAATTCTAGGGTTATACGGTGGAAAATACGCTATTTCGTGCCAAAAATCCCAAAAATATAACAAGTGTACACATGTGAAATTTAACTGTCTATTACCCCATGTTTTCGACTGTATACCTCTCTATACGTAACGATTCATGGGACATGAACATAATTGTGAACGATTAGGAGGTAACTGAGAAAAATATATATCAGTTCGATAGAGCCACTCGTCCGTACAGAGTCTATACTCACAATACACTAACCGGTCTAACCCTGTACCCTAAAGCTTTCAAAGCTCCACGGTGGTGAATGGATGTCTCTTACCGCCTTCTAAACCTTTTTAATCCTTTATGATGAACTGTATCTTGTCTTGTCTTATTGAGTTTAAAGAAATGTCAAAATAGTAAGCTATTTGATAAAATAAAACGCTGGAGTTTTTATAGGAATTTTAGGGTATTCGAATAATTATTAAGTAGCCTGGTTCCAAAGATCTAAAGGCTTACAATTTGAAAAATTTCGACACCCACCATGCATGGTGGTGCGACCAATGTTGTCCAATTTCTTACATCTTTGTTTTTTAGATATCGTTATAGGCTTCTGGAGGCTAATTAATTATTTTGATTATATTGAGTTTTTATTGCTATATCCAAATAAATATAAATCGAGTAATGAAAGGGGTCACTAGAAATCCGGTATGAATTAAGACGGTCACTAAAAAACGTAGTTCCTATGCGCGGATGGAAAAGTTTTTCATTTTCCATTATCAGTCATTTCACCACGTGTGCAGTTGTTTATATACGCGACGCGACCAACTAGCAACTTACCTGTGCGCAGGTTCCCGATTAGGGTGATATGGCCTTCAGCTAGCCACGCTGAGGGTCGACCCGAGAGGAAAATAAAAAAAAACCAAGCCGAAACTGTAGGTCGCTGTCGCTACGCGACGCGACCAAAAATGCGCAACTTTCTGCGCGATGACCGTGTCTGAACTGTCGTTTCTGTGCCCTCAGCTTTGAATGAAAGAAGCTTTAAATTAATTTCTGAGCATACTCGACAGGTTTCGACATATAATGTATGGTCAAGGTTCGGCACACTATCGGCAATGTTTACAGCTCAGTATAATTTTGAGCAATTATATAGTAAACAACTGCTATATATTTAAGTGCAAATCAAAACGCTTTTTGCTCATGCTCACTGTATTTCGCATGAAGTAATATATATTTTTTGGCATAAGCAGGCCACTTACGAACGACCTGAGCTAGGATTGGGCGTATGTGATGTGATGTTGACAAACTTTTATCGAGCACAGTAAACCTACACCTGCTACCCTAAGTAAAAGATGTAGAGCGGTTTTGAAATGGGCTGTTCTGTGTTTCTCCTGCTTTCAACATGCGACCGACAGTTCGGTATATTGTTCATTTTTATTATTAAGAACATTTACGACACAAAGTTTGCATGGCTGCATTGGCTGGCTACGCCGCTGTGAACGACGCGACCATAACGCCTACTTGGCGTCTTGTTAACTTTTGGTTGCAAATATAAACCTGGCCTGAAGCAAATATATATCATGTATTTCAACAGTGATATTTTTCAATGTTCGTTATTGCTGAATGGTCGAAGTCGTAAAAGTAAAATTCTATATCGTAAAGTCGATTCTCGAGCTATCGAATTCAACTATAATCGTATTATTGTACTACGAATAGTTTTCAATACTACAATTTTTAGCGAAATTTCAATTTCTTTTAAGCAGATTCACCTTTCAAAATAAATGCTTTCCCAATCAAAATAATTTTAACGAGATTTGCGAATAAATTCAAAGATGTGTCATACATTTGTTGATAAATCCACATATTAAATTTACAAAATACGTTAATAATTTAAAATACAAAATTTACTCATTTACCCATGTTCAAAAACACTCTAAAAAAGCTTGAGAATCGTTCATTTGAAACAATGTTTTTCTACCCGAAGGCAACTTTTACATTCTCTCTTAAAGTCAATTTTTTGTATATTTTCATAATCATCCAAGTGAAAATATTAATTCAAAAAGGTTTTAAAACTCAAAATATCAGTTATGCTGAATAATTTAATTTAGTTATTCGCACGTTTGCAAACGTTTGCTAGTTACCAGTTTCAACATGTCTCAAACTCACGCGTGCGCATATCTTAAAAATATTTCGCATTTGCATTCCCGGGCGTAATTAAAATATCCGAGCGGAATTACCACCCTCGGTCGGCGCTTCCCACCGCCTGGGAAATTACAATTCGGTTGTTTCTTCTGTTATGCCGCAAGAGGAGAAAGTGTTGCATTTTCTAGATTTTGAGCGCGCATAATCATGTTTCGTCAATATTGGGCGCAACTTTGTCACTAGAAAGAATATTTTTTAAGATTAGAACAATCAATTTTTACCTTGTACATGTAGTATCAGCAACGGTCGTTCTGGCAGTCATCCTCGCCTTTAATTGGCACGAGATTGCCAAACCTTGTCCCTGAAAAAATATGTTAGCGCCCACGTTATATTTTTTTAAGATAGGTCAGCATTGTTATTGTAAGATAGATTTTGTTCGGGCGTATTCTAGACGCTTTTCACATTAAAGTTTAAATTTTGAGAAATTAGAATATTTTATACACTGCTTTGATTTGATGTGTATTTCGGTTGGTTAATATACATATATTTCGTTCTGCCTGACAGATCACTTTTGTAAGTGCAATAGCTTACAATAGGCTTGTATGTACTTTGTCGTCTTTCAGGAATTATGTTGGACAATAATATATTTAGGTGTTCTAGTACATGGAAAATGACGATTTATCTTTCTTTAAAAATGTCCATGGATGCAAACTCAAATGATTCCGTAATCAATCCTGAATATTTTTTCTGAAAAAAAGAACGCGGGAATTAAACAAAAAGTTTTACTAGTTAGTGTTTTACCCTGAGCTAACTAAAGGAGTTTAACACGTTTACGACGACATACTTTAACACGTTTTAACGACGTTTAGACGACATACTTTAACAGGTTTTAATTCATGTTTATCGTAAATTTTGAAAAGTGTCCGCTGTCCGGTGTCCGCGTTTTCCAATAAACCACACTCATAGCATTAACAGCGACATTCGCAATCGAATGACTATGCTATTGAGTGACTCTAGTCGTTCGTGCGCACATTTTTATCATTATACATTTTGGAACAGCTAAATTTCTTAAAACTTCACAAAATTTCTTCTCGGCAACTGCACTGTGTTCAAAGTTTGAAAGTCCGAAAATTTTAGAGGGGCTGAAGCAGACAAATGGCTACCCTGTGTTGAGACTTTGGAATAATTAGTTAGGAATAATTATTATTCAATGACGTAATATTTGTATGTGTATATAAATTATTTCTGATATGAAATATACATCTTTTAACACTGAATGTCGAGTACATAACACCCTGAAAGACAATAGTCTCGTAGTTGAACCTTAAAGGATTTTATTCATTCGTAAAATGTATTTAATACAATCAAATATTATAACATATAGATTGTGTAAACTTCTATGTCCAAACTTCTATGCCTCTACTAGCAAGCGTATGTTTTGCGTAGTTGGTTCTACTGAACTTTTTGTGTAGTAATCTCGAGTTTCGCGTGTTGTGATTATGAATTTCCTTTTTAGTAGAGAAATAATTTCTGAATATTTCTGGAAGGTTTTGTAAATAGAAATATCGAACATGAATATCCTTATTAAATAATCATTTATTTTGAATAAATTGAGTATTTGCAATTCTTTAAAAGTTGGTTCGGAATGATCAAAAGAAGATTTGAAAGCCATTAATCTCACAATTTTTTTTGAATATTTACTAACTTTTTAATACGGGATTTGTAGGTGTTACCCCATATTAGGTTGCCATACGTTAGATATATGGATGGACCAAGGCATAATATATTAGTTTCAAAGAGTTTAAGTTTGTGAAATGCTTTATCCTGGAAATGAATGCTGCACATTTAATGATTTTTTTGTAATCAAATCCATGTGGTTACACCATGTCAAGAATTCATCAATAACAATCCCTAAAAATGTAGTGTTTTAGACTTGTTGTATATTGTTATTATTGATCGAAATGTTAATGGTATCTTCAAGCTTCTTTTTTTTTTGTTCTAAAAAGAATAAATTTGTTTTTTCTGCATCCATAGACAATTTATTTGCATTAAGCCAATCTGAATTTTTTTTTAATTTCGACTTGAATGAATTCATCCAATTTTCTAAGACATTCATGACTATATAGTACGTTTGTGTCATCTGCAAATAATACAACAGAAATCAGTTTTTTGGCCACTCCTCTATTACCATAATGTTCCAATTTCTTTATCAGAATCTTGTGATCAATTGTATCAAATGCCTTAGATAAATCAAGGAAAATACCAACAGAGTATTTACCATCATCAATTACATTAGTAATTTTATCAATAAAGTCAATTAATGCATGTTCAGTTGATCTCTGTTTCCTAAATCCATATTGATGCTTTGAAAAAATTTTATTTTTATCAATAAATTTTGACAGTCTATTAATCATAAGTTTTTCTAACAATTTTGCAAAACAAACAAGAACTGATATTGGTCGGTAGTTTTCAAACTTCATTTCGTCATTAGCCTTGAAAATTGGTGTAATCAATGCGACTTTTAGATTGTCTGGAATGATTCCAGTCGTAAATGTTAGATGAAAATGTGTGTTAATGATTTAGAGATTTCTCTAGCTGCTAGTTTTGTAATGGTTGTGCTAATACCATCATATCCACATCGTATATTGCTTGATGTTTTTTAGTTCAACTTCTAATTCATTTTCTGTGATGGGATAAGGAAAACCTAAAGTCACTTTTCAGATATTTATTAAAATTATTATTGTCATTTTGTTTTATTTTATTTGCCAAATGGGGTCATTAGTAAAGTAGTCGTTGAAGTGATTAGCTATTTCTTGGGGATCATCTAAATTATTTGATGAGTTGGTTTCAACAAAGCTTTGTGATATTTTCGTGCTTTTCTTGGGCTTATTGAGTAATTCATTATTAAGTGTTTTCCACACCATTCTTGAATTCTGTTTGTATTAATTTGATCAATTGATATTCATAATATGTTTTTTGGCTATTTTTATTATATGATTTAGTTTGTTTGTATAATTTTTGTACCGTTGTTCCTTTTTGCTATTACAATTCATAACGAAGGATTTATAGAGTTTGTTTGTTTTTCCTGATTGACTTTAATATACAGTTTGCCATATATGGACTTTTGATTTTGTCTATTTTTTTATTGTTTTGTTTTCGTTTGATTGGAAAATTTTCTTAATATATATCCGAAAAAATTTCTAAAAACTCATTATAGGCCTTATCAGGATCATTTGTTTTATTCCAGGGAAGGTTTTTAGTTGCATTTTTGAACGCCTCTGTGTTATTTTGATTAAATGCTCTTTGGTATGATACTTTTCGTGTGTTAACATTTTTCGTGGTGTTTTTGCTGGATAAATTTGTATTAAACATATGCACTATTGGCAAATGATCTGAAATATCGCTAAAGATTATACCGTCGAAGCTTTCATTAAGTTCTTCTATATTGATAGTGCAAAGACTCGGGTGTATGTGTCAAATGTATAACGTGATGTTGCTACCCTGAGTCACCAAGTGGGTAAGCTGAAAAATTAGCTTGAATCGAACCTGCGACCTTTGGTTTGCTAGTCCAATGCTCTTCCAACCGAGCTACAAGGTCAAGACGGTTCGAGTAGTTGATATTTCGGAACTCAGTCTAGTCACTATCAATTTAAGACGCACAGATATGGAAGAGACTAGACTGAGTCCCGAATTATATCAACCACTCGAACCGTCGATCTTGACCTTGTAGCTCAGTTGGAAGAGCATTGGACTAGCAAACCAAAGGTCGCGGGTTCGATTCCCACCGTGGTCAAGCTAATTCTTCAGCTTGCCCAGTTGATGACTCAGAGTAGCAACATCACATATACATTCTTCTATATTGTTACTAGAAATCTCATCAATTAGTGTGGCAGCATGATGAGTAATTCTCGTTGGTTTCGTGATTAGCGGAAAAAAAGACGAAGTGAAAAGTTGTTCAATAAATTGGTTTGTATGATCACAAGATCCTGATTTAAACAGGTCAATATTAAAATTTCCCATTAAGTAACATGGTTTATTTTCTCGATCGATATTTTCTAGAATCTCAATTATTGTAGTTTTAAATGATTCAAAATTGCCATTTGGTGGTCTATATACACTACACCAATAATGATTTTTTACCATCTTTATTCATCACTTCAGTGAACCTTGTTTCAATTATATCGTTTACGTTTATATCCAAATCATTTCGACTTTTATACTCTAAATGTTTTGAAACATATAAACCACCACCTCCGCCTTTTTTATTTGGTCTGTTTGAGCCGAATATTCGTATTCATCTAAGGGAAAACAATCTATGTTATTATCATTCAACCAAGTCTCAGTAAGTCCTGTTATCTGGAAAGGTATATGTCTAAAGTATCCTTCAAATTTTTGAGTGAATCAAATTTGTTTGCATACGCCTTATGTCCAAATGTAGTAGCGAAAATTTTTTTGTTATATTTCTTTTTTCAATTTGTGATTTAAAATCTTTCGGTAGGAAATCAAGTTCCATATTATTGCTGGACAGCGCTATGTTTTGATTTTGTTGAGAAGGATTAAATCTTAATTGCATGGCTTAGCCTATCCATACAACTTTGGTTTAAAATGTTTGTAGAACCTAATGTTTTAACTGTATTGACTACCTGACTATAGGGAAGTTTGCCATTGTATATGGCATTAGAACGTAAGACTAAGCATCAGTTGATACTTACTCCCGCTATAGCAGCCTGTCGTTTCACATTGAATACAACATAGCTTTATCACAGTTAATGTTTTATAGGCTACCAACATCCACGTATTGCGTACCTATTTTTTACATATCTTTTAATATCATTATTGGGGATCATTAATTTTGGTTGGCGATCAAGAAAAACGACAAAAGAGCATTATTGCATTTCTCATAACTGAGTATGGGAACAATGCAGTAGACCAATAGAATAAGCCAATTGAACAGATTTGTTTGCCCAGGGCAAAACGCTAGCTTTTATGGTCGCATACAATCTTTACTTGAAGTATTTCTACATATGCTTGGTCAGGAAAGCATCTGAGACTCACTGCATTGTATTACATTGTAATAAAATTCTAACCTTCCGACGTTTACTACAAAATAGCTTTAATACTAGAAATACATGCATGCAGCAACCCCTCGCTATTTCAAACCAAGTAGACAATTTCCTGAGTTAACCTGACTTGAACTTATATTATGGAATGACACAAAACTCAAATCAGTCTTATTATATTTTACCGAGTATATTATAGCTAATGTTTCCATCATTCAATACAAAAATAATCATAAAGCTAGTGTAAACATTGCCCGTTCAATTTAGTGTAAACATTGCCCGCTGCATTATACCATGCCAGCAATTAAGTAACGGTTTAAAATCGAAGTTTCAAACGATTAAAACAGTACAAAATCTTCACAGACATAGAAAAAACTTCAAATGTTATTTTATTCTGTATTTTGCAGTCGACGCCGGCGGCTAAAATTTTCATACTTTATAAATATAGTGTGTATTTTTGATACCAAAATTCCAATTACACTTTCAAAAACACTTTTTGAAGTTAAAGCAAAGGTGTAATAGCCTTTCACAGGTTTATGCGTTTGCATAAAAAGCTGAAAATTTAACAAATAAACGGCATACAAAGCTAAAAAGTATACAAATACGGCTCATTCTTATCGCGAAACAAATACGAAATAAACAAAGTAAACACGTACCCTTTGTCTTTGAAAACATTTATAAGTTTGCAGATTATGAATTATTCCTCTTGCACGGCTTTTTCTTGACCGTATCCACGTTAATCTTTGCTAACTGTCATGCTTCATATATCTTTTTTCTTCTCGTTTTACTTTCTTTGCACAAAGTTTATGAAACGCTTTTACAAAAATGTTTACGAAATGACAGTTAATATAAATTGCTGACGTTCTCATTGAAATACAAACTTTCTGTCCTAGCCAATCAGAACGTTCGTTGCTTACCAGACGTTACTCGCGCATGCGCATAACTTACAAAACCACCCAACGTCGACCGTCCATGACACAGAGGAGAGATGGACAGAGAGTCGACTCTTCCGATTTAATGTTGAAACGAGTGTCCCCGAGTTTTGCCTAATACACGTCATTCTCGCGTCATTTCCACGCGCCACGCAACCACCCGATTCTCTTCTGGTAAGCTCTTTCGGCCAAATTTCAATACAAAAGTATAGAAAAAACGCTGTTCGACCGGTGAAAAATTGATTTTTTTTTGAACTGGGTCGGATTATCTTCATTTTTTGACTACAATTTTGGAGATGAACGGTGAGTTGTTTGTTTTGTTGGGTTTAAATGATCGTGCTGTTTTTAAAAGCAATATTAAAATCCTTGTTTTATAAGTGAGTTCTGATTACCCTTGTCGGCTGCCATATTTTTACCCGAATTGTCAAATTGTGTTTGCCAAAGTGAAACGTTGTCAGAGCTGCTTTTCTACTGTTTGTCAACTAGCAAGCAGAGTGTTTGCATATATGTGGGATTACAATATAAGACGAATTTCAAAGAATA